GATAAATAAAAAAATAACTGAAATACTTGCTTACATGTAGTCTTTTCCAGCAAGCACTGGAGCTTCTGCAGCTTCCGTTTGTCAATGTTCCATTAATTGTCCCAGTAGGTAGATGTAAGTGGTCATGAAGAAGGTATTAGTAAAGGGCACTGTTCAGTACTATAAAACTTGTTTATAGGACAACAAGTGAGTGTTCAATATAATGTTGCCCAATAAAAATAAAAATATCATTTTTTATGCATTCAGGCTTTTAAATGCTGGAAAATTCTTCAGACCTGTCACTAGATTGCTATATTTCACTTATGCTCCAGACAATCCTGACAACCAGTAAACTGGTTGATTTGTGCCAAGTGAACACTTCAGGGTTATGAGCACGCCATTGCTATGCCAACTTCTGGGCCCCCAGTAATTTTTCATGGCCCTTGTTCTCATACAAGAGGGGCCCCAATGGCCCCACTTAATGAATTCCTAGATCAATCACTGCAATTCATCTTTACCATAGAGGGATAATGAAGGGAATATCCGAGCTTTCCAAATCGCACCAAGGCAAACTGGTTGGGCACCAATGCAATTGTTATCAGTGCCTCTGACTATACTTCAGATGCAGAAATTGTCAGATGATTATTTCAACTTACTTAAACCATTTAATATTTCCTGCTAGGATTTTCGCCAATTGAGGATTTTTGGACATTCATAAAGACAAAATTCTGCAAAAGTCACTAGCTGAGAAATGTTCTGTGCATCAAAATGTGGAGCTTTTTACTGCCTTATGAAGAATTTGTCTCTCAAAATTATAGCGGCTTTGATTGTACTGAACTGTTGTTTTTTTCTATTCTCACATAAATATTTGTGACATGAATAAAGATAATTTCCTTACATATGTGAAAATCAAAATGATTATGTTAAGTTGACAAGAAAACCATCACATTCTTACAAAATATATAACTGTTCTTGTACCCACAATATTGAGCTCATATCGTACCAAAGTCAAATACCAAAATGATGACTGCATTAGTTCTATTAGAAGTGCATTTAGAATAGAAGCAGACGTAAAACCAAAATTGCCATTGTGGTGTGCTTAGTCCTAAAATCTGATTTACTCTGACCACAGACACACATTCAATACAAGTGTATGTAAGTTGTCAAAGGAGAAAATACGATGTATGAATTTTTTTTACCCTATAAAGGTTTATGTGAGA